AGGGTTAACGCATTCCCATAGCTTCGTACGTCAACCGAACGCTATAATTTAAGGGCTAAGAGGAACAAAAAAAGTTAATTCGAAATGACACCCCACATGTGGAGCCATCCGGCCGAAGATACAAGATTTAAGCCCGCACCGCGCGTCATTAAAACCTCGCTGTCAAGAAATCATTTGGACGTGTTTCCTCTCGCATTATTTATCCGGAGGCCCGATTATAAACAGATGTTATTCGGCTATAAATCCCTGTCTCGCTGCTCATGTATGTACAGGATACGTATTTACCGTCTATTGCACTTTCGTTATGACTCTTCGTAGATTAGTTGCAATAGATGTGAGCAATGTACATCACTCAAGATGGAATCACAAACTTCGTCGATGTGTTTGACACCATTTGATTTTCCAGTGATCTACCTAAAGCTACTAATGATTTCATCGTCAACTATAAGACTTGGGAACATTAAACATAGTGTGCTAATCGTGATATTTAATCAACTCCATCACATTAGTAGCATTAAACATTTAACAAGACCACATAGCCATTCGAAATGTCCATTTCCGCTTATGGTCACCACCCACACCTATTGTGGCTGCATATCAACGATGGCGCGTCACTAAAGTATCGGCATTCTGGTATTATAGTCCGCGGAATTCAGGCTCTGTGGCTTCAAAGTCTCGCCTAACACCTACGCTTAATAATGCCAAATCTAAATTCATTATTATATTAAAATATTCAAGTAAATATCGATTTTTAGAAGAAATCACCTTGAACTGGCATTCCAAGCATATTCCACGTCGTATAATGCACAAATTATTTTAGCTTTTGGATCTGGATGATTGAATGATGAAATCCAACCGACTTTTGAAGTTACCCAGTTATGAATAGGAAAGGCAAAGTAAAGCAACGATTAGACTACATAATGACAATTAGGGCCCTTAAAATTGGAGTTCTAGAAATTGGAATAGGGGCATTCTGTTATGAAACTCATCATTCGTGAATGAAAGTAGCAGCCTAATTAGGTCAGTGTAAAGAACTAAGTAAGCTGCTAGTTTAATGTAAAAACAAACTTACATTGTTATCAAAATATCAAAAATGTGGCGTTGCCCTTGCACCGTAGCAAGTCTAAATAATGGAAGAAAAAAAAAGGAAGTGCTGGATAAAAAAATATTTACTTCAAAGAAATATATTATCACATACGAACATTCTGGAGCATTTAGATTCCGACGATTTCAGGATTTACATGAGAATGGGAAAATGTTTGGTTTTTATTCCATAAGGAAGGCATATCCTTGCACATATCAGTAATATTTGGTAAACTGTCTTTTTTCTTTTTAATTATATTAAGTTTGTATCGAAATTTCTTAATCACCACAATATAGCAAACACCCGCTCGCATAGAACGCTGTACGGTGACAGCGCCTTAAGTTAGCGCACTAACTCCCTAACTGTAAGATTACACTCGTCCTTAGCTTAGTAAGGGCCCTAATTTTCTAAGTACTATACTTTATAAGGGCAGTCGTGACGGACGGTCTCCTATAAGGCCCTAACTGCATTACCGAGATCAGACTTGTCCTTATTAAGGTACCTAAGTGGAAGTGCCCAAATTCTTGTATAGTCTAAACGCTGCAGTTATAGAGCACTAATTTCCACAGTTTACGAGACTGTCTATTATCTTAAACTAGATTCCCTGTCCTATCAAGCTTGTATTTAAATGTGACAGATTCATTAATATACAAACCTTAACTAACGAAAAATAATTAAAATTTCATGTTATGACAAAATCATTATGCAAATTGGTTTAACTGACTAACGTTTTTGTCTATTTATTAATTGCATAATGCAATTGCAAATCGGTTTAACACATGAAAACGGGAACTGCTCAAAACTCCTCCGATGCGTCAGTGATTCGCAAGTTTTTCCGATTACTTCTCTTGACCTCAGACACTTCACGCTCATTAGAGAAGACACGTCTGCACATTAACATAATTCGACTAACTCTTAATACCGTCCATTCCCTTCTGTCTAAAACAAAACAACAACTGTAACTCGAGTGTAAAAATATGGTAACCCTACCCAAGATAGTTCAGTCACGTTCACGAATCAAGATATCGACAAATCGATTGTGGTCGAGATAAGTGTGTAGTAGCACGATTTTATCGGCATTTAGTACATCACTGGGAAGTTATTAACGATGGCCGCTCGGGCGAGATGGATGGTGGGAGATTTTTTTGTTGGAACGCATCTCGGTCTACTCCGAGGCATCGTGGAAAAAAACGTTTCATATTTGAACTACTGATGAAGGATAAGGTTTAACTGATTATCCTACTGCACTATGAGACACTATGACCGAGAAGTATCACGGTTAGACCGTCTAGTCTCTTAGTACACTAGTCTAGTCTCGACTCCAATCACTACATTGTATAAAACAAAATAGTCCCGCTGTCTGTCCCTATGTATGCTTAGATCTTTAAAACCACGCAACGGTTCTTGATTCGTTTTTTTTAATAGAAAGAGTGATTCAAGAGGAATGTTTATATGTTTACATTGCACCCGTGCGAAGCCGGGGCGGGTCGCTAGTAAAAAATAAAGAAACTATTAAAGGCTATATTTGATGATTTGCAAAAATTCATGTATTTGAATTTGGATTTGCTATGGTCCACTATTGAGGGTAAGATTTGTTCACAGTGTAACCAAATCGTACTATCATTATTAATGCATGAGAAAGATACAAGTGAGTTCTTTTATTTGAAAGACGTATTTAGATTAAAACCGTGTAGTGTTGATTGCGCCAGTGTATTTTGCGTAAGCGAAGTCATTGACTTTATTCGAATTTATTATGATTAACGAATCAGATTGAGTTTTGAACGTCTTCAAAAAAACAACAAATTGTATTTAAATAACCATTGGTTGTATACACCTACAAGCTTCTGCTATTGAATGACCGGCAGATGCGTCTGAGATTTCGTCTGGTGAAAGTAACCGGTGCCACTTCCTTGAAGGTTGTCAATGCATTTGCAAGCCTTTAGGTGTTGAAGATGTCCATGGCTTACGGTAATCACTTAATATCAGGTGAACAACCTTCTCAATTGACAACTTTTTACATAAAAAAAATACAGAAGTATTATTTTATAGTACACCAGCTAACATCTTGCAACATCTGTGTTACTTGAAACACATCTTGATGTGATATATTATATCTGCCTGTACTAGCCTGTATACATAGCATATCCTCTTCACAGAATTGTCTACACATTAAAACTACCAAGTGGTAACTTAACACGAAAGCTCTACACAAAAATTGTAAACTAACAGCCCATAAGTTTCATAGTTCTGCACGTGCTTCGCTGTGAGTGTGCAGAAATAAAAATTCCACAAAATATTTGGTATATCCAACCCTACTGTTTGAAAATAGGACTATTCAGCACAACAGCAACAGTTGCAACTAACTTAAGTTTGACGCCGCTAGACATTAACATTAGGCTTTTGGGTGTTTATTACAAAATCTCATGAAGCCCTTCGCGTCTGCAGACTCGTTTGTTGATATTAATTGGTGCGTTCATCGCGACAATCCGGTTAGGCGAAAGAACGCTCACCTTGCGCCACTGTTCTCATTATCCGTTCACGGTGGCTGTCAGAAATGTTGACAAGAGGTGCCTTAACAAGTGCGTACTCCCATCATTCATCTGGCGATTAAGCGATGCGCGCTTTTTTATCTGTACGTAGCAGTTATTTCGCGCCAAATTCGAAGCGTCGCAATAAACGACTTCCCATCGTTTACAGATAAAAAAAATTACATGATATTAAAATTAGTAATTATGAGGAAATAAATAGTCTACAAAAATTTACATATATTCCGCAACGGTATTGAAACATTAAGGAAGGAAAACATTGTTACCTACTGCATTTTACTTTTCGAGGATTTAGTTAAACATGTTGGCGTTGAAAGAAAATAATTATTTGACATAGACAAATGTTGTCGCATTTGATACTTAATGTAAGCCGCGATACTACGTTAAAACAATTACGCCTGCACCGCATCCGCCATTTGCATTCGCTTTGGGCAGGAAAAGAAAATGGATATCTCCTCCTAGTTTTTTTACAGTGTCATTCATCTACACCGTTGAGAAAGTAAATCATTAGAAACCGCGCTCATTTTCGAATTCCTTTTGCAATACGTTTGTTTATTCGAGAGCTCGTGATTGTTTACGTGACTCCATTACGCATATCATTGCGCTAACGAATTGAGTCCCGCAACCCACAGACAATAAGCAACAAAGTTACCAGAGCAGATGCTTTAAAAGATGTCCTGAATATATAATTTAAATTGAACACTTTCAAATGTGGGCATGCCTTTATCAAAAACTAAACATTTTAAAGAACTTAAAATGTAGATATATAATTTATTTATTTTTCACTTTTTTATATTATTCACTTTTATTTTTTTACTAAGTAACAATAATATTTTAACTGTAATAGAGCAAAATTTGACAATCATGTAACACTTAATTCTATTAAAATGAAATATTTGTTTTTATTCAATCATAAACTGAGGCTTTAACTTATTTAAAACTACAAACATATTCTCAATAAATTTATAAAATTTTATAAAGCTATTAGTGGTCCCAAGACGGGTAAAACTAAAAGTCATTCCTAATAAAAATATACGGACACATTTTTATTAAATTCTTACTCGCAAACCATAGCCAATATTGAAAATCTGTATGGTACGAGATGCCGCGGATTTCACAATTTTGAACACAGACTACATTTTCCGTCCCGTATACTATCTAAAGTAGTGTGTAAAATTATATCAATTATTGTTTGGGAAATATTTTTTTTACAAAAAATTAAAAAAATATATCAATGTCAATTAAATACAGAGTCTAACATTAAACTAAATTATTAATTTTTTATCACCTTTTCAGATACGACAGCTCCTTACGTCCTATATAAGGATGGGGTGGAACGTGCTCCGCCGGGAACACAGTGGGGCAGTGGAATGCTCGATGGTGGCTACCAGACAATGCAGCACCAAAGTCCGAGCGGGCCCTCGCCGCAGCCAGAACCGCAGCTGGCCTCTCCGGCGCCGTCACCGTACCCGCCGGCCCCCCCGCCCCCTGACCCCTCGGGGGCCGAGGACGCCGCCCAGCAACTCGCCCAGCAACAGGCGCAGCAACAAGCCCAACAACAGCAGGCCCAACAACAAACCTCGCCGGACCACATGCAGGTCGAGCAGCAGCTGCAGAACCAAGGCCAGTCCCAAACCAACCAGGACCACTTAGACCGAGGACCGTGCTTCGTGCAGCCGGACTTGCAGCAGCAGTACAGCACACCGTACTTTAAAGAGACTCGACCGACAAGCCACATGTTGGGCACCGGCGGATTCCCACTCCACTACCTTAAGCAGAACGGCGGTGTGCTGTCCCTGGAAGGTCCCCTCGACCAGTACGCGGCGCCGGATCTGCGCCATTTACCCGACATAGTCCAGCCCGAGCCGCCGAAGCCGAGAAAGCACAACCCGAATTCCGAGCTGCGCCTATTCAAGTGCCTGACCTGCGGGAAGGACTTCAAGCAGAAGTCAACCCTTCTGCAGCACGAGCGCATCCATACAGACTCGCGGCCGTACGGGTGTCCGGAATGCGGCAAGCGGTTCCGCCAGCAGTCGCACCTCACGCAGCACCTGCGCATCCACGCCAACGAGAAGCCGTACGCGTGCGTGTACTGCCCGCGCTCGTTCCGGCAGCGCGCCATCCTCAACCAGCACCTGCGCATCCATTCCGGTGAGAAGCCCTATACGTGCGGCGAGTGCGGCAAACATTTCCGCCAGAAGGCCATCCTGAACCAGCACGTCCGCACACACCAAGGCGAGCGATATTCACACATATATGCCCCGGTCCGCTCCACGCGCGCGTCGCCCGCACCGTCGCGAAACGATCGCGCCAGTGCGAGCGCCGCCCGCGCTCCCCGCCGCCCCGACCTCGTTCGATTCGGTCTCGCATCCATTGGCCTCCCGATCAGACAAATTCTCGGTCCCGTTGCCGCCCGCGCCGCGGTGGGCGCTCGCGAGACGCGGAACCGATCGCCGGACGCTCCCGTAACCGTCCCCCGTTCGATTAACCCACTCGTCGTTTGTCCCGAAACGGACAAGTCGCTCGTATGACTCATATGTGTATTCCACTTTTGCAGACGTTTCGCCGCATCTTATCTTCAAGAACGGGACAACGCCCACCCTCTGGCCACAGGACGTACCGTTCCCTCCCGATGAGAACAAGGAGGAGATACAGTCGACATTTGGCGACGCGGATGGTCAGAATGGAGAGCAGCGTGGATCTTGCTTCTCGCCCGGGGACACAGCGCAGTATCCAGCATATTTCAAAGATACTAAAGGTCTCAATCATGCTGTTTTCGGTTCGGGGCTTTCACTTCAATACTTAAAGGGGGGTAAGCTGCCCGATGTGCTGGGAGGCCGAACGATGCCGCTGTACGTTCGCTGCCCCATCTGCCAGAAGGAATTCAAGCAGAAGTCGACACTGCTCCAACACGGGTGCATTCACATAGAGTCCCGGCCCTACCCGTGCCCGGAGTGCGGCAAGCGTTTCCGCCAACAGTCGCACCTGACTCAGCACCTGCGCATCCACACCAACGAGAAGCCGTACGGCTGCGTGTACTGCCCGCGCTTCTTCCGGCAGCGGACGATCCTCAACCAGCACCTGCGCATCCACACCGGCGAGAAGCCGTACAAGTGCACCCAGTGCGGCAAGGACTTCAGGCAAAAGGCGATCCTGGACCAGCACACGCGCACGCACCAGGGCGACAGGCCGTTCTGCTGCCCCATGCCGAACTGCCGGCGGCGCTTCGCCACCGAGCCGGAGGTGAAGAAGCACATCGACAACCACATGAACCCGCACGCGGCGAAGGCGCGGCGGGCGGACGCTAAGACGCCCAGGCCCTTGCCCCCGGCGGCGGCGGTGGTCAAGCCCGAGCTGTACTTCCCGCAGTGCTACGCGCCCCCCTTCCAGCAGTTCTCCACGGGAGGTGAGTTCAAGCCGGCCGTGGGGCCCGGCGCGCCGGTGGCCTGCCTGCCGGCCCAGTGACCCGCGCCGCCACCGCGGTGGCACCCGGCGCCCACTCACGCGCCCCCCCACCACGAGCTATACGTCGCCGACCGCCTCTACAACTAGAGCCCTCCGTGCGGCCCCACGCCACGCGCGGCCACGGCCCCGGAGGCGTCGACTGTGGCTCTACACCAGTATACGACTCGCCAACGCGAGCTAATAACACATGATACGATCGGGAATAACTAATGCTAATAATTAATCAATTCAGATCGCTGTAAAACATGCTTCGATCTGTAAATAATACGATATCGTTCACACTCCAACGAGGAGTCTGTCGCCAATGTACAGTGTGAGAGTCAGAATAGTGTTACCGTTGACAAAGCGAATTCAAATGACATTTTCGCCCCGTAATATTAAGTTACCAAATAAGCATTAGTTTGTCGGTGGTTGTTGCCGACACGGTCGTAACGTTCGTCGAATCTAACCAGATCGAACCAGAGATTAGAATTTAAAACTCTTCGTTGAAATCTAAAAACGTAAGAATTGCTCTTTTACCACATAACAGTATTTCGCGATGAATGTTTCCGGTACATCGTTGTGCCTATTTGTAATAAATATACATATATTTTGTAGACTTATTAAGTTAATTTTTATTTACGTGTGTTAGGAGATGTAATCTGGCAAATTTAGGGTGCGATGAAAGAATTGATGATGCTCAAAATATCATAAAACTTATGGTTAAACTTAAATGAATAATTGCGTAATTAGGTCGGAAAAGGTTAAATCGAAAAGTAAGGATCGATGGAAACAGTTAAACGAGAAACCAACCAAAAACGTAGGTTACCTTCTGCCATCAAAACATTTTTTTTGTTTCTTAGTACTAACGACAGGTTCTGTTTTACATTTAATTATTCTTAATGAAATATATGAGATTATTGAGATATATTTGTAACACAGTAGGTGCCAAATAATGTAGTGAATTTTTCAATTTGTTCTGTCAGCGTGTGTTGAATAGGCCTAGTTTAGGTTGTTACCAATTTTCCAACGATACGACAATTTGAAATGCATTTACTTGGAAGGGTCAGACTGAGAAAGGACTGTGATAGCTAGATAGGTTAGGCGTCGCTCACTTAGCGTTAAAATTTCGAGTGCCGTGGCAGAATGTGATTGGGAATCCTTTTGGAGTCGTGTGAATGTTTTGAAATTGTTTCATCGTAGTTTGTATAAAGTCTCTATTGCGATTAGGACAACTCGACATTGCCAAACATTGATCGGAGACGATGAGAAATTACGTTTTATGTTCCTAAATTAAATCGAAATTTTGCATTTATTTGTAAGGCTGTCCTGGCCTTGAGGGACACCTTCGCTCTTTTGACTGATTCGATAAAGTAATTACGATGAGTGAGATTAGTGAAATCTAACGATTAGGTAACGCGTGTGACGTAAGGGACTGCATCTTGTTGGGGCTTGTGACGGAAAGCCAGAGTAATCTTTTCGCTTAATTTTAGCTTAGACTATCGAATCTCGAATTACCAAGCAATTCGATCATTCATCGCGAAATAAACTTAGCTTTAGAGAGAATAAAAATATATATGAATTCGTCGCATTGCTGGAGTATCCTGATATTGGACGAGGCGTCCTCGGTCAATTCGCGTCCACAATAGATACAGGTAGTCATATAACTTGGGTTAATTTCATTTTCACCGGTAAGCAACACCGAATTTTATTGTTCACCACAAACATACAAAAGTAGCCTTTGATCAACGTAGACATTAAAGCTACAAATATAGCGTGCACTTTTTTTTTCTTAGTTGTGTTGCCGCCATTAAAAATAACAACGCACCATGCGTTTGAACAGGGAGATATATGAAATATATCGACTGTTATTATATTATTGTTGAATCAGTTACGACGAGTCGCTCGGACTATAAACTTTGTAACAAACAATATCAGGATATTTTGGCAGAACTTTTTAACGTTTTATCATCTCTGTTTGTATCTATAGACAACTTATATAGCTTATTTTACGATATTATTGTGATGGTTTCGTTTTCCTACCGCATAAGGACTGTTACGTATTAACTATTAGATGTAATAGTGTGCTAATTTGTGGAAGTGCGTGGAGTAGCATCGCAGTCGGATACCGGTTGGTTTTTATTTTATCACTTTTTAAAGTGAATAACGCAATATTATGTTTATTAGGTTCTGTATTACGTTACTATTGCGGAAAGAAAAATTATCGCTCTTTGGACAGTTATAAGAAATTCACGCGAATCAGTTTCGTTTTACACTGTGCGTGGCTTATTTGACAAGAAGCCAGTGAGCAATGCCACACCAACATAATCGAAACTGACGAGCACCGTAACAATGTTTAGTTTCCGTTTGATTTTCCTATCAAACTTTCGGAGGTTTACAATTGAAAAACACCATTATTGATGAAAATTAAAGTGTTATCTTACTTGACTTCAATTTTCCACAGCGTTTGCAAATATGTGATCCTCCTAAGGAACCGCGCGCCGCTACGACGCCCTCAAGACAATAGACTAGAGTTCTGTTTCTATCAGGGTTCAATTTTATAACTGCTCGCGTTCAACACATCGACTACTTATAAGACCAATTTAGACGGCACGACGTGAAAACAAATAATAGATCTGTCGTAATTCCGATTAGCAAATAAAATTGAATCCTACCTATTTATAAGCCACAACACAGCAGCCTTAAACAATAATAGTTATAAGTATTTTTATACATTTTATGGGATAGTTTTATTACAGATATAATCGCAGCGGTGCGCGGGGCCCTAGTACAAAGTTTGAATACAATGACATACAATACAGTGCCATAGCCGTCGAATAACCTCAGATTTATACTTAGATTTTTATACCGATACAAATGGATTTAATTTTTAAATATAAACAAAGGTGATTAAGTATACAGAGATTACAGATGATATTTTATACATTTATTACAAACAATATTATTAAAAATAAATGTGAAATAGACTTAAATTTTAGTGTCGTACTGCAAAGTGCTAAATACCTTATTATCTTCAATATTATCGTGCAGGTGTTTTTTTATATATTACTCAGCAGCGCGAGTGTTAAAAATTGACACAAACGGACAAGTCAATTTCACACGGCCGTGTCATATTGTCCGTGTTTTATTAAAAACCTTTTGCTTAAGCGAGAAACGTATTACCAGAGCATTTAGAGTAGGTACATAACACAGATAAAAAAGCAGTGTTGCAATAAAGAAATGGGCGTACTTATTCTATCACTTTTACAAAACGAACGAGTGTAAAAAAATAAACGGAATAAGTATTTTAGTATGTTAAAAAGTATCCTCCCTGGCTGTTCTATTTGGATTGCTCATTGTTTCGTTAAGTTTTGCTCAATTACTCGTGTACGTTTTACCTTTTAACGTTACTCGTGTTAGTTTAATGCATATTATACGATTTTTTTCGTTGTACAATAAATTTAGAGAGCACGGTTTTGCTTTTCTTTTAACATTACTTATTATGTACTGTAGTAGCTCCCGAAGACAGATTTGTGTACTGAAAAAGCGAAATTATTACGACATTTCTTCTACTTCCCGTTGCAAATCAAAGTAAAGTGTGAAACATTACTGTATTAATTAAAATGTGCCGTCCAATCTATTATTTTTCCATTGCCCAATGAACAGTTGTTTTGTATTTTACCAATAGAAGTTTTCTTAGAGTTCAAAAGTGTTTTTTCAAGACAATGGATTATGTTTCTGCAATTATCATTGCGAGGGGAAGAAGAGCTATCATTATTTGCCCTGTTTTATCAGCTAGTAGACTGTAAATGGAATATAATTCCAACTTATTTCGAACGCAAAACAAATTTCACTACATCGTAAGGAATTATTCAAATGACTTTTTAACGCTTCATGTGTCTGAGCTACCATATATGATTTATCACTTTAATGCCTATATACTTATTTTGTATATTTTAAGTAGTTACGATATAAAAGGAGAGAATAAGATTGCATCGTGGAAATATACTTTGCATAACACTAATTATTATAATATCAAACGAATGTCAATTGTATTAAATACAATTTTTTTTATTCCGAATCTTCGCTTTGAAGCTTAATATGAAAAATGATAATTTAGTTAAGCTATATAGTATTTTCATCATTGTATAACACAAGCAATTCCTTACTTATTCTTCTTTGGATAATAAATTGCATTTATTTATGATCTCATGGCATTCGAAAGGTATATTGTAACGATAAGCTAATTGGCAGATTTAATTTTGTAAGACGAATTGTTTACTTTCCACTTCCTTAATATTCGATGTTTATTATATCGCCTTGTATGATAAAATTAAATTCTTACTGGGGCTGTCAACATTTTTTATACTTTACATTGGTTATAATTTGATGAGTGTTCTTAAACCATAACCACTGAAAAGACAAATTATAGTTTAAATGTTATGCACTTAGTAATATAAAATTATGAGTAAGTTCAAGATTTAGGCATAATTCATGAGCAATTTACAGATTTTTATCTTTTGTTGATGACAGCCCTACCTTGTGTATCATTGACGTAGCGTTTGACTTTGCTTGCTTCTAGCCAGATTCAAAGGCGCCATGTAACATTTAGTTGTATGACTACTACATGTATATAAATTTTCAGTGCGATAAAATTGACGACATTATGTCGAGCTTATTTTTTTCTACTGGAATCTGTTTGGACGCAATTAGAGCGGTTTGTCCTTTAGCGTGTATAATACAGTCTAAATTTCGTATACGATTTTTTGTAATTAAATACACATTAAGTATATTTTATTTCAAAAAAGAAATAAGTGTGCGTAGATGAATTTTGGCTTTACACTTTTGGATTCTACATATTGAGTAATTAAAAAGGAAATATTAATAGGACTGTTGTAACCAGCACCATTTCAAATTGTAATTTATCGCACTGTCAATTGTCAAAATATTTATTTTAATCTTTTAAGGAAAAATAATTAAATTTCTTCGACTCTTTAGCAACCTTATGTATACCGTAG